TTGGGTCTCTCAGCCTGAGTCTGCCCCTCCCCCGTTACCTTGTTCTGATCCAGGATCGTTTTCCCCCTCGCTGTCCCCGGTGTAATACGGCAGCTTCGTCACTGAGTCATCTGAATAGGAGACTGGAGAGACAAGAACCAGAAATTCATCACTGTGAGAACAGCAGAACTGTGGGACTGGGAACAAATCCAGGGCCAGGAGCAGGATTTCCAGTCTCAGTCTATTCCTTCTTCTACAGGAGATGGTGGCTCACAGCGACTCTGAGTGGTGAGAAGCTGACACAGACTCCCCAGGAGAAATCTCCATGTTACTGTGGTAAATGTGACAGAGGGGATGCTACAATATGACCTGAAATATACTGGGGTGAGTGAAGGGCACGTCTCTGGCTGCTGGTCCAGGGAAGTTCCACAATGATCCTGGCTTCTTCATCCACAGAGGGGACTCCTCCTTCTTAAGGGTAAATACCCATCTCCCCCATGAATCAGTCAATCAGTTCTCCGTGGTGTTTACAGTTTAGGCCAAGACAGGCCCAGAGTAGAATCTGTGATTTCCTGTAACCATCTTAGCAGTGGTGCTGGGAGATGCCCTGAGCATGTTCCCAGAGCCTCACCACAGCACAGCCCTTGGGTAGGATGTTCTCATCAGACGTTGAGACAAAATTGCACATAGGATAACAGGGCCATGACTCAAAGTCATGAGGCTCTCCTAGGCTGATCTCTCTGCTCTGCAGGGCCAGCACACAACATTTTGGCACCTGAGGCAGATAGCTCAAATGACGCCCCCATACTCCATCGCTTGGGCCAAAACTTTGAAAGGTCTCAATTCTGCCTTCTTCCTGTTCTACTCCTCTCATGGTACTGCTCTGCTACCTACCCCAATAAAGAACTAACAACTTAAAATGCCTTGTTCAAAAATTTTAAGTAACACTTAACTTTCAAACGCCTAAACTGCAAATGTAACTTTTCTTGGCTGCATAGTAAACACTGGCATTTTTATCTGTTTGAATAATCAAAGTGGTGCTTTCCGTGCCTTCTTTGTTTCAAAGATCTGAACTGCTTCCTGCTGAAGGTCCACAGTCTGGACCAGCTCATGCTCTACTGAGATGGTTGCAAGGTGGACCAGCCTCTCCTGTTTCATCGTGGAGCGAAGGTGTTTTTTTATTAACTTCAGCTTGGAGAAGCTGCGTTCTCCACTGGCAACTGTTACAGGAAGTGTTAAAAGTATGCGCAGAGCAACAAAAGCATTTGGAAAGAGGGTGGTCATCTTATTTGTTCACATATATTCCAGAACAGCCTTTGGAGTCGATCCTGCTGAAATGTATCATGAAAGGGCTTTCAGTTCATCACCTAAATCACTCGCATCAATATTGCGCATATCATCATGTGTCAACACTGTCTCTAGTGCCCTGCATTGCTCGTGTAGGTCTTCTTCGGGTATAGTGAGGGATTTAGGAATATCATGCAACATCCCGAATATACTGCTGTGTTCATTGAGCTGCATTAAATGTTCTTCAACTGACTGTATTGCACAATCTAGCACCTGGTTAAAAAATTTAACTTTGGGGTCTCTTATAGGATTATCCCGTGCCTCGTAATCAAAATGTCTTCTTCTTCGGTGACTCCTGTATTCTTGAATGGGAGGGAAAATAATTTCAGTGTGAAGTTCCTCTGCCAACTTCTGTGCACTCTTCAGAACGTTTTGAAATCCCTCATCTGACCGATAAGACTGTAGGTATGACTTTGCTTTGTCCAG